AAATGGATGCTGTTAACATAGTATTCAGCTCAAACAATTTACTAACATGGTACGCCGTCCCAGTAACCTCCGGGGGGTGAAGAAGCGATTTTGGCTTCGAGAACGACGAGAATCCATAGCGCTCCATTGTAGCCAAGCGCTCACCTGAAGTCAATCCTGGACGTCCATCATTGTCCGCAGCATTCTTCGTTTTTCTAGCTCGGCTCGCCACCTCACGGACTTCACATATCTGGAAGGAAAAAATGTTGCTAATCCAAGTCAGAACTATGAGCTACAATTTACCTAACAAAACAAGACGAGTTGTAACTTAAACAAGCAAACAAACTGTCCGATATTAGCAAGTTGACGAAAAATGACTACCGGAGAAAACAGCTGAGCGAGGTGATCCGAGTCACTGGAGACGGTCAGGCTATTTACCCGTTCACCTGAAGTATCAGGCAGGGCATTAATACCTAGTTGGCAACACAGTAGTGTTTATTGGATAAACAAACCTCCTTTCAGTGGCATTTCAGCTTTATCACCCGACGCGCCCATCAGGAGCGTCCGAGTTTCTAGTATCCATTCGATAAAAGCCTTTCTAACAAGTTAGGAAGGTTATCGTCAAAAAATGAAGGAAAAGACACCCAAACACCATAACTCACCTTGGAATAGCATTTGATTCAGGGACGTGCTCCTTCAAAAGATTCAATACTTCCTCCGAGTTAAATTCGTCCTCATCCTCAGCCTCAAAAAGCGACTTTAGGTAGTCCTCCAAAACCGAATCAATTCTACCAACTCAAACTACCAATGAGTCCTACTTAAGATCATTAGATGATGAAGCGCTTCGATAGTGACTGATTACGTCAACAAGACGTCGTGATATCATGAAGCACCTTCACAATCTGTAGGAAATTTTAGTCAACTTTGGGGAGAAAAACAGTGCTAAAAGAAGGTAGTTGGTAAGAACTGTTTATTTTGATGACATTTGTACAGCTATTCAATGGGCAACTTAAGACCTCGATAAAAATTGCTCAACGCTGACTGCCTTTGGAGAATGCCAAGAATCTTCTCGGCTTCAGCTATAAATTTATCCTGTTCCTCTGAAGATTTGCTATGCTCGTGTTTTCTGAATTCTTCCTTGATACGACGAGTAAAGTACGTTCTAAAATTGTAGTCGGTAAAATTGTTGCTTGCACGAAGCAACTCCCTAAAGAGATGGACAATACGCTGCTCCTTCGACATCTAGGACAATGTTAAACGTATCACCAAACCTCGATCCATTAAAAGCAACAACAGTAGGCAGTTTTCGATTTTGTATTCTAGCTTTAAATTTAAAATAAAACCTAAACAGCCTTAAAGAAGAACGTAAAAATAAACTTTTGTACATGAAAAATTGTTGACATATCTGCTCAAATTCTATAACTTTGTTTTACTAAATGATCCGCGCTACAACCTGTTCTCCTATCTAAACTCCTTCTTTCGCATGAGGCAATTTCCACTCGGCCACACTACTTCATCACCGTACCCATTGGACTTGCCTTCTCAAAGAGAGCATCTCATTCCACCACACAATGAATGTCTAAGATTGCCAACGACCACCCTACCTCCTACCTGTCACCTTATGCACGCAAACATGGAGTTTGATAGCCCAAGAAGGACCCCCATAATGACCTCTAAAGGGGGCACGTCCCCATCGGTCTCCCGGAGCATCAGAAAACAGCAGGTTTGTGGTCAAAATAATCTGTTTCTTAAAAGAGTATCGTGACAAAAACGACAAAACCGATTTATTGTACTGAAAGCCCAACGTAGATGCAAAATTGACCTAGGCGAACCCAATACCCAATTGTTGAGCGATTTTCAACTTAGCGGTTCGGAGATTGAAGCCCTCCCCGTTCAGTAGACGACCCTTGTACTTGGCCACCACACGAACTCGTTGACGTCGCTGACTATTCACATTCGTCTTCGTCCTTCTCAAGTTTCCGAATGCGTTATTCGTTGCCAAGCACTCTGTAACCCTGCATGGGAGAAAGTGCTACATCCATGCCATTTTGTAATGCTACCAAAATGACGGCTTTGAGGTAACTCAACTAAAAAGGCTCGTAATCTCGAGGGCTCACTTACAAGATTTCCAACTCCGGATACAACTCATGCATCAGTCGTACCGGGTCCATAGGCAAATCGTTCCCGTAGACATCTAGGAAGAAAATAAACAGCAATAGCACGAATTATGCCCCTCAGTTACGGCAGTCTACTGGCTTCTATCACACCCAAATGAACTGTTTAATCCCTATGGTTATCTCTGCAGTAGAACCAAGAAACAAAGGGCTGGTGCACATTTACAACCAAAGGCCAAACAAGATACTCAGACCTCATGCTTCTTCACCAAGTCCTACACCTCACTTCAGCCAAGTGCGATTGCACTAAAGCTTGGTCCACGT